GGTTTTAGATCTGATATGCGTTCTCATTTTCTTGCTTATTTTTCATCTACTTCTTTGTCTGTCAAATGCATCTAGTACTAAAAACATATCAAAAATTGAAACTTTCCTTTTTTTCTTCTATATTTATTTCTGCAAGGAAAAAAAGAGAAAAATTGGAAACTGGGTAGTTGATTTTGTTGCTATTGGATTGGATCTACCATCTGATTTTGTAGTGTTATGTTTCAGGTTCACTGTAATTTCAAGTGTAATATCTACCCTTCCCACTTTGTTGAATTTCCCACCTTTTCACACAGCGTACTATTTGTTCTTCATCAATTTCGTTTTTTGATTTAATTTCTCAAGTGGGTATAGTCCTGATCTTTTTTTAAAAAAAAAAATTTGTTAATTAATCTCCTCTACTTTTTTTTTGCTTTGTTTATATGGTTTAGATCTGTATGTATTTAAGCAAGTGTTTGCTGTAAAATTATATGCAAGATACCTATGTCTAACATGGATCCATCCAGTCTATTTTCTTCCAATTCTATACCATATTTTTCCTATATGTTTGAAATTTGACATGGGTTCTGCCGTTATAGATTGACCATTATTCATCTTATAAAATGTTACGATGATGATGATTTTTTTTTTTTTTCTGTTTCTGTAACTTGAAAATAGATCTGGGTTATCTGAAACTCCTGCCAAATCATCACCAGCAACTCCTAGAGTTAGTAAACTAAGTAGGGGAGTGACTAAATCAGAAACTGATTCACCCTCTTCCCTCCAAAATTCACGCCTTTCAGTCGAACGCTCCCCACGATCCATTAATTCGAAGCCCACAATCACCCGGTCGCCCAAGGTTGCTACACCTCCTGAAGTAAGTGCTAACATATTGCATTGTTTCTTCAGCATCTAGAACAATGTTGTTTTGTTTTAATAGCTTTATTTTCAGTCTTTATTATGTAAATTTTGATTGCTAAAAAGGCTTGAGACATCTTGTATATATTCAATTCAACATGGTATTGACTGTTGACCTTATGAGAAGCATGTTTCTATCACTTGTTTAGATAATGTTTCAGACAAGTTGTACATTTTCAAATACTCTGGGATTGAGTTTATTTGGATATGGAGTTTTTCTGGATAGAAAGCAGATGCCTAGTTTGTTTCGTGTGAGAAAGTTGACCTACATTGTATCTTGCCTTTGGTCTTTAGAAACCACAAGCACGGGTTGCAAAGAGTTCGGAGTTACAGGCTCAGTTGAGTCAGCTGCAGGAAGATCTGAAGAAAACCAAGGAGCAGATAGCATTGATTGAGAAAGAGAAAGAGAAAGCCCTTGACGAATTGAGAGACGCACAAAAAGTATCTGAAGATGCAAATGAGAAACTCCGGGAGGCTTTGGTTGCTCAAAAACGAGCAGAGGAGGATTCTGAGATTGAGAAATTCCGAGCTGTTGAAATGGAGCAGGCAGGAATTGAAGCTGCTCAGAAGAAAGAAGAAGAATGGAGAAAAGAGCTTGAATCCATTCGAAACCAACATGCTCTTGACGTTGCTGCTCTACTCTCTACCACTCAGGAACTCCAGAGAGTGAAACAAGAGCTTGCCATGACTTCTGATGCAAAGGATCAGGCCCTGAGCCACGCAGATGATGCAACTAAGATTGCTGAGATGCACGCTGAGAAAGTGGAGATTCTCTCATCTGAGTTGACCCGGTTGAAGGCATTGCTTGATTCAAAGCATGAATCTGAGGCCATCGAAAACAATGAGGCAGTGCTGAAACTTAAGTCAGAGATAGATATTTTGACGCATGAACTTGATAAAGCAAGAAGTTTTGAGAAGAAGTTGATAGAAAGAGAGGCTACTATTGAGCAGCTTAATGTTGATCTAGAAGCTGCAAGGATGGCTGAATCTTATGCACGTAATTTAGTAGCCGAGTGGAAACACAGAGTTGAA